TCATTTCATTAGTAGCACGTTTGCTACCAAAATGCTGACTAACAGTAGACAAACCTGCACTCACGATGAAGTGAGATACCTTATGAATATGTGGGCTAAAGAGAACATTTTTCAGTAACTAGAGAAGGTGCATAAGAACACTGAGGTATTCAAAATATTTAGCGATAAAAGGGAGAATGGATTTCAGTGATCTGTTCTGCAGTGCTGCGTGAAAGCTAAAAAACAAAATAACAGTACTGTAGTATTTAAGTATTTGGAGGGGTTTGTTTTTCTTCCCTACCAACTGCATGACCAATAATCAAATGCCATTTACATCACAGGCCTTTGTTTACAATTGAGTTTATGATTTTGTGAACAAACAAACAAACCAGACCAGTTGAAAAATTAAAACAATGCATCATCCTCGCATTGGTTTGATTCAGGAACCGGACCTTCAGGTGTGAACCCGCCCTAAAAGGCTGAAACCAGAAAGTATCTAGCAGAATACATGTAAATAAAGGGAGAGCGCCGAGCTCACTTCCACATTACAACCACTAAGGTGCCCTTGAGCAAGGCACTTAAACCTAACCTCCTTCAACTGCTTAGTGTCAAGTACAGAAAGGTTGGGTACCAAAACAACCAGCTGACATGCAGAAAAAGTCTGTGATCCTGTGATATACGAGAAAAGTAGGATATTGCCGGTCTGACTGACATCCAGATGGTGATGAGGCGGAAGTGACAGACGCTTGTACCCAGACGCTCAAGAGATCTGGCATCTCAAACAGCTCCTCTGAGGCTCTGATCTAAGTCGAACACCAGCCCTCATCTCCTTCATTAGCTCTGTTTGGGAGTTTGCACATGGCTACTCACATCCAACAGCAGCCTTCAGCAGCAGCAGCATTCTCCTTTGTCTAATCAACTGACATATGTGTTGACGGTTAACACTCAAGGGACAGGGATGCCAATTTTAAAAACACACCCTTCTTTTTAACATGTTTCAACCGCCACAGCCATGTCCACATTTGTTTTTTAATATTAGGAACTTCTTTCAGACAGAATATTTCAAACACTAAAGAATACGGATAGTTTTTAGCACGTTGTATTAACCTATTTGATGTAATTTGTTTACAGTATTTACTTTCTATCAAGCATTGGCAATCACATACACAAGTAGGAGACTGTAGTTGTTTTGCTTCTGTAGTTCATTATTATTTGTTCATTTCTTTGTTAAACTTGAACAGATATATCTTTAACATGTGTTGGATTTCATTTATTTTACAGTACAGTGCAACAATTAAAACATCACTGTGTATTTTTGTCACGTTTTCCCATGTAGCTGATATTCCAAAAGCTTATTCTCCCCAAAGAGATACTAGAATGGAGGAGTCAAACAACTGGTAGAACAAGCATGTCAATTAGTGAAGACTAGCAGCCATGAAGCTCAGGGTCTGTTACACAGGATGTCTAGAGAAATAGAGACAAAACTCAAGGGGGCTGTTAGGCCTATAACAAATTATTCCTGGGGTTATATTTTGTTCTGCAGAAGAAAGGGGTCAGAGTAACTGTTGACCCAATATCAGACAGATTTTACTAAGAGAGAGCAAAACTCTCTAACTAATGTATTTTGTTTGCCGTTGATCGTACAACTCAAAGATGGCCAGAATCTGATAAAACGTCACTATACCACACAGTGATTAACTATCTACTTAAACAAATGATGAAGAACCAAATTTTCCTGGTTTCTCAAAATAGATGAATTTCAATAACAATGGTGACTGTAAGCTAATATTATCTAGAAAAATGTTAAAGGAACATCTAATCTACACAATTGCAGTGTAAATATATATGTTTGAATTGTTTTGGACACAAACTATTCCGTCCTTACAATAGCTGAATAAAGGACTGTTGTACACTAATCCAGCATTTACACAGAGACATGAGGAGTGATAAAACGACTGATGAACACAAGGAATATCTAAAAATCTATCAGGTACTATCACAAACTGGCTTGGGGAATGTGACAACACACGATTTAACTTATTAAACATGATTAATTTGAAGTAAACTTAAAGAGGTGGTATTATGCTCATTTTCAGGATCAAAATCTTAATTAGGGGTTGTACCAGAGCAGGTTTACATGGTTTAATTTACAAAAAACACCATATTTTTCCTCATACTGCACATTGCTGCAGCTCCTCTTTTCACCGTATGTGTTGTACGCTCCGCTCTTGAGTTACAGAGTGATGCATCTTACTTGTACAAAATCTTTGTTGGGAGTTGCACATGTGCAGTTCCCAGGTAGGGACTACTAGCCAATCAGAAGCAGAGAAGGGCGGGTCGTAAGAAAGAAGGTAGTGTGATCCAAATCAAAGCTGCTTCAGACTGCGACCGTAATCTAGCAGGTGGTATAAGTTACTCACAAGTCCACAACCACACAACATCATTGTTCCACAACTTACAAAAAAACACTACAAAATTCATCATATTTAAACTCAATTTTACATAAAAATTGGCCAAACAATTTGAACATTTGCTCAGTAGCTTTCACATCAGGTGTAACATTAGCATTATAGCTATAACTTTAGCTGTGTTAGCCAACGTTTACAACAACTCTGCACTTGAACTGTCTGTGTAAAGTTACATTGCCGTGTTTATTTTAAATATAATTCACAACCAATACAGCATACTTACAGGCTGTGATTGTGAATTTCCAGGCCCAAACAGAGTCGGAGTTGCATCGTCTTTTAGGACTAAACGTTGAACTGTTGCCGGTGTTCTGACGATCTATGCTGCCTTGCCGAGAAATGCTACCATAGCACAAATCGATAGACTCGACTCTTCTCGGCCCTGCTTCGTTTTCCATTGCAGATAGTACCCAGAGATAGTACGTAGCTTTCAATTCAATAAAATTTTATTTATATAGCGCTAAATCACAACAACAGTTATCTCACAGCGCTTTTCATAAAAGAGCAGGTCTAGATCATACTCTGTGATGTTATTTACAGAAGCCCAACAATTCCCACCAAGAGCAAGCACTAGGCGACAGAGGCAAGGAAAAACTTCCTTTTAAGAGGCAGAAACCTCGAGCAGAACCATGGCTCATGGTGGGCGGCCATCTGCCTCAACCGTAGCTTGTCGTCATAGCGACGTCACACAAAACTGCCGCGACGTAATGTTCAATGCAACACACACACCAGCGATCCACACAGGTTTCTCTTTATTTAAGTTAAAAGGTTTCAACATTAATCAGAATGTAAAGACAGATAAGCAGTATGAAAACCTTCCAGCTGTGTTTTCCTCTGCCGTTGTTGCTGCAGCGGTCTGTGTGACGACGGGAGCAGAGGGCTCTGTGAGCGGGCAGCTGGCCGGCCTCACACGCTCCCGTGGGTTGGCACAGGCAGCCACTTGCAGAGCTCCTCAACTCGTTCTGCCATCACTTCTCGTAAAACTGTCAATACTCGAAATCTACACAGCTGATTTCTCACCTCAAAACTTCTCAGAAGTGGATTTAGTGATGAAATTACATACGGAAACTGTAAAATATAAAACTTTCTGGTTCTGGCCTCTGTCTGGCGTGCAATGATGATGCAGTGAATACTGACGATTCTCCCTGACCAATCAGCAGTCTGTCGTGTTTTCACGTTACATTTTAGTATCCCTCAGCTCGCTTGGAACCTCAACGGAGGTGAGGTGATAAGAAAAAAAGTACCTGGAAGCAGGTACAGGTGCAACATTTCTACAAGGGAAAACCAGACAAAGGCGAGTCGAGCCAAAGGGCCTCCGCTCAGACCTGCTTGGTTTGAGGGCGTGCCTGACCCCGCTAGCCGCTTGGCAAGCTTTATGACACGTTTTCATTGTGATGTCACAATTAAAGGAAGTGAAGGGCTGGACTACAAACGAGCTGTTTTCAAGCGGTTCAGAGCAGAGCTTTCTGTGGGAGATGGGAACTCCCTTTGGGCTGGACTTTGGGCTTTTTCACTTTGCAAACCTGTTACATGCACAAAAAAGACATATAACTCAATAAAGGAGAGGGGAAAAGCCAAAAAGCATAATACCACCTCTTTAAAGAAAATAAACAATTTTGTATGGAAATCATCAGCAATGACCGCAGTGCATTGATGTGTGAGCAATGCACAGTGTGCAAAATGAAAAGCAGCAGTGTGAAGGCCAGTCGAAGGAAGAGCTCACATAGGCTAGCTTACACAGTATAGGCCCATGTGAACAAGATGAACATGTGACCCACCACAATCAACCATTGGCCTCATGACATTATAAGTGTGCACTTCTGGAGAAATCCAGTATCATGACAAATACCATGATAAAGAGCAAACAACACAGCAAGTAATAACCTAGCACATCCTAGCTAGGTTGTGGCTCAGCATACATGCTGAGAGGACAAGGCGGTCTCAGAGCCAGTACTTCTTGCTTGTTTTCCACCATAGTCTCTGCCATATTTGTAGTTGCTTTAGTCTACGCAATGGCTACACTAACTCCAGAGCCATGTAGAGACAGAGTTCCATCATCTCCATTCAATTTCAATTCAAGTGCTTTTTTTGCCATGACTGCATACACTATTAATGTTGCCAAAGCATATTAACACAAACTCTACAATCATAATAAACAAAATAAACAATTAACAATTCTTGGGGCATCAGGCTTAATCAGCACTGTGGGAACTCATTTGGCGAGTGCTTGAATGCAACTGAAGTTCATTGTAATCATTGTAAAAGTCCCAAACTCCTGCGTCCTGCAGATTACACACAAATCATGGCTGGAATAGTGTTGTGTAGCTCGCTACGAGTACCTTTTTTTGTTTCCAATTTACAGAGCCTGGGCTGTGTACAAAACACCAGATTCAGGAGATATTTGCTGAATTTGACAAAAACAGGTGTTTTTGATTAGAATCGCATACCCTACCTTTAAACACGACAATCTGTGGGAGGGACGTCACTGTACACATGCTCATAATTAGCTCTGTGGTTGCAGGTGTTGACAGCAGGAAGAAACAATATCATGTTTTCGCTTTTCTGAAAAAGCAATGGCAGAAGCCCTGTATGAGAAAAAAGGCTTATACCTGGCACTCGACTTCACCTCTATAAATGAAATGTAAGTCCAATAAGATGTTTCTCCTCATTTTTTTTCCTTTTATTTTTTCTACTCTGTTCAGTCTCTCTGTCATGTATGGTTTCTCACTGTCAAATCTGCTCTCATTCACAAATGTTGTACTGTAGGCTATCTGAGCAATCAACTTTCTTCCCACATCCTAATCCATAATCATTCTGTCTACCACACTGACAACTAATCCTGTCACCCCATTGACCCAGTCTTCAGCACCGCCACAGACAAGACACCATTCTATCTCAAGCATTTTGCAAAAGGTGCTATGTTGAAAGAGTCTAATCACCAAAATGTTTTCATTAGTTCTCAGTCTCTAATAAATATTATTACTAATTTAAACTTGACATCTCCATGTTAAAGTAATGTTGTGTTTTTTTGATAAAGTAGAGAGCACAGTTTTTTCCATCACTTTAATATAGCCAGCAGCATATTTGGCGGGTGCTATGATTTATTTAGCAGCTGGGGATAATAAAATAGAAAGTGTGATTATATGGTAATATTTTTTATAATAATATTAATTAATAACTAAAATGAATGAATTAACTTAAACAAATACTGTAAGTACAGGTAGCCAACAACATTGCACACCACTACATTTTAAATTTAAACTTTAGATAAAGTTTCAAGATTAAAAAATTTGCCAACAACACTGAATCAAAAATGCTTATCTTATCTTATAACCAAACCTAAATGCTAATCTATTAACTGATAAATCATGCCATGACAAGTTAAATGTTACAAATGCCACACAGGCACAGCAAGGCAAAAAGAGTAAAAACCGCAATGCTAAGTTTCAAGTTCACAGCACAGTAGCTTTAATATAATGTGTATAAAAACAAAAAAACAAAAACTTACCTTAAGTTGAAAGGTCTTCCTCAGATCAGCTCAATAATTGGGTTCTGGTCATATTGTCGTGCAATTTCTCCGTTTCGATTTGTCCTCCTTATTTCTCTCCAAAAAGTGTGTTGTTACTATAAAAGTGCGCCATTCTTCCTATTAGTCCATTCTTTGTCAGTTCTGGTAATAGGCACGTGTGTATCAGGGATAAGCATATGCGCCCATAGTTGCCAAGGGGTTAGGGTTTCCTTGTCCATGGAATTTATGTTGCTCTGTGACAAAGTTACCAATTTAGCACAACTCCCAATTTAATGATGGTAAATTCACGTTAGCTAGCTTAGCTGTCTGGTGATAGCAGCCCGGTAAAGCCCTCGTTTTCAGCATCAGCTGTTGCTTGTGAGGGCAATGCTGTCAGTGTTTCATTGCTTTCCATGTAGGCTTTTTGGGGAAGGTTACCGAAAATATTTCTTCCTGCTGGACCATTTCTAACTTAATATCACTATCAAAAGCGTTTAGGCGAAATCACTGTATTGCCAGTGACACACTTCACTTCACCACAAAGTCTGCCTTTGCGAGTGAGAAGTCCCGCCTCCTCTCCTTCCTAACCTCAGTAGCTGTTAAAGGGAAACTCCACCGATGTAACAGGGCTACATTCTGCTTATGTGAAAAAGGTTATGTAGCTTTTTGTGGCTTCAGAGGGAGCTGTGTGATTTCCATAGGCTGTATATAAAATTCTGTCTGATTTCTGATAAATTGACTCAAGTGACATCATTTGAGCCAGCATCAGTAGGGGCTGAATAATACAGGCTGAATGTGTAAATAATCTGGAGGTGTGGAGAAATAGGTGATTTTTCTAGACCTTTTCTGTAGCCCGTTCCTCATCTCTGCTTAAGGCTAACAGCCCCATGTTGGTTAGCCAGTTTCTGCAACTGTTTTAAATGTTGAGCTGGATGATACTATTTTATCTGATCATAAACCTGTCATCTTTACTGCCTCACTCTCGTGTCCTTTACCAAAACCTAAAATGCCAGATCGCTATGTTAGGGCACTTAATTACTCCACAGCTGGGCTATTCTCTGATGCCTTTATAACTTCGCCTTTTGCTAAACTTACAGAGACAGTGTCCGCCTCCATGGGCACAGAGGCACTAGTCACTCTGTTTAATACCACTGTCACAGACATCCTTGATACCATTGCCCAGATCCAAAATCGAAGCTCAGCCTTGGCTTAATAGTGAGACCCTTGCCCTTAGACAGGAATGCAGAGAGGAACTGGAAAAAGAATAAACTGCAAGTGTCCTACAAAAAAGATCTGGTATCTCACCCTCTGGCCTTGACCCATCTGAGCTAGTCCCATGCCCGGTCTCTTTAAATTATTTTGAGCATGTGGCCTTGTCTGAATTGATCAATATAGCCTCACTCGTGATGCCTACTTTTGCTCCTACAGACACTGTCCCCTCACGTCTTTTTAAAAGAGGTTTTAGATGTTTTTGCTCACAGCCTTTTGTCTATAATAAATAGCTCTCTTATAAATGGAATTTTTCCATCCACTTTTAAACATGCTGTGGTTCAGCCTCTTATTTAAAAAAAAACAATCTTGACCCTATGGATTTTAATAATTTTAGGCCCATTTCTAAATTATCTTTTATGTCTAAAATTTTGGAGATGTTCATTCTTTCTCGACTCTCCTCGTTTTTAGCTGAAAACAATGTGCTGGATAACTTTCAGTCAGGTTTCAGGATACATCACAGTACAGAAACAGCACTGCTTGAGGTACTAAATGATTTATTGCTGTTTGGTGATTCTGGAAATTGTGCTATTTTACTCTTGCTTGACCTCAGCGTGGCTTTTGACACCGTTGATCATGACATCCTCCTGGATCACCTCCAGCAAGGGGTTGGTATCCAGGGTGTCGCGCTACAGTGGTTTCACTGTTATTTGAAAGATAGAACTTTTTCTGTTAACATTGGTAACATTTCCTCTTCTTCAGAAGCAATTAAGTGCAGGGTACCTCAAGGTTCAATCCTGGGGCCAATCTTATTTTCTTTGTATATGCTCCCCTTGGGCTCCATTCTCCGTAAACATAATATATTATACCACTGCTATGCTAATGATTCACAGCTGTACTTACCTCTGAAGCCAGGTGATTCAAAGTCCTTACAGTCTATTTACAACTTTCTAAATGATATTAAGCGTTGGATGGCAATCTACTTTCTCCAACTAAATGAAAACAAGACAGAAGTAATATTATTTGGTTTCCCTAACTCATTTGAGGAATTATCAAATAATCTGAGCCCCCTGTCCATTAATGTACAGCCCTTTGCTAGGAACTTAGGAGTTATCTTTGATTCAGCATTAAAATTCGACAAACATATAAACTCTGTTGTTAAAGAGAGCTTTTTTCATTTAAGGACCATAGCAAAACTTAAATCCATTCTCTCTGTAAAGGACCTTGAAACTGTCTTGCATGCTCTTATATCATCTCGAATTGATTACTACAATTCCTTGTACTCTGGCATCTGTCACTCATCTTTATCATGCTTGCAGCTTGTTCAAAATGCAGCTGCTAGATTGTTAACTATTACAAGGAAGAGGGACCGTATATCCCCAATATTGGCAGCTCTTCACTGGTTACCAGTCAAATATAGAATCGATTTTAAGGTGCTGTTAATTGTTTTTAAGGCATTGCATGGACTGGCCCCATCTTATATTTCAGAACTCCTAATGTTTCATCACTCCTCCAGACCCCTCAGATCATCAAATCAATCCCTCTTAGCCATCCCACAGTCTTGTATGAAAACAAAGGGTGACTGTGCCTTTTCAGTGGTGGCCCCGAGACTGTGGAATAAATTACCCCTGATTATTAGATCATTCCCCACTATCCACACATTTAAGTCTCGACTTAAAACATATTTTTATTCTTTGGCGTTTGAGTCTGTTTAGGGGCACCTGCGCTTGTGTATTTATTTATCTATTTTGGATCTAACTGTGTTGTTTTTCTATCTTATTGCTGTCTGTTGTTGATTGTTGTTGTTTGGCCTGTTTTAATTATCTGGTTTTATTTTTTTATGTCTTCTTCTGTATAGCTTGTCCAGCACTTTGGTCAAGTCTGGTTGTTTTTAAATGTGCTTTATAAATAAACTTGACTTTACTTGACTACTGTACTGGATAGTAAAATGCATTATTCATTATTTTATTAGCATTTAATAGCTACAGCACATAATAGGTAATGGGGTTGGCCAATACCATGAGACGATATAAATTTCAACCATCAGAAATTTTCCCATCTCTCTTGGTGTGCTGGGCTGTTATTGGTAATGTTACAAATCAGTGAGCACATCTGTCAAAAATGTCATGCATTCAGTATGGTGGATTAGCCAAAAACACACCTCCCGTTCTGGGTAGTTTATTCATACAGTTCATCAATAGATGTTCCATTAAAATATCTATACCACTATATCAGTCTCACAGTATAAAATCCCATTTTTACCTTTTAGAGAATTTTATCTGTATTGTCCACTCCTAGTAAGCAACTAAGCTAATTAGTTCCAGCCAAGCTACCTAAAAATAAAATGGTTAAGGTTAGGCAAATACTTCTGCTTGGTTAAAGTTAGGGAAAGATTGTGGTCATGACAAAATTAAATAAAAGTAAGAATTGATGGTTAAGGTATGGTTTAGCTTAGGCAACTAAAAGCACTGTAGTTCAGTATCACCTTTGTTAGCATTGGAATTTATTTTGTTTGGTGGTATAGGGTTAGTGGGTTTGGGGGATGGAGGTTGTTGACATTTTTGTTATATAATCTGCTATAAAATGTACTATGAAGCAGTTGAAAAAAAGACAGTAGGCCTAGATGATGACATAAAGACCATGTAATGATGTGATGCTGTAGGAGAAGCTAAACATGCCCCTCACACGCGTTTTTGAGAGCAACTTATTATAACCACTGGAGAGCAAAATGAGCCAGGTATAGAAAGATAAAACATAAATGTGTTGAAATTCCAGTGACATGCTTCAGTTTACAACAAAATAAAGAGTTTTATTAAAGAAATATCCTACAGTCATGTTTGGAGATGGTCCAATTATGTATGTGTAGTGAATGTAATCTGTCCTTTCTATTTACATGAAAATAGAAAAGTGAATGTTATATTTGATTTTCTGAGCATACCTTTTTTTTCATACCACATTATGTGCACCTTTCTGAAATGAATTGAAAAGTATGGTTTACGGCTTATATCACCCAATCAAATAAAATACAGTAAGACATGGAAGGCTAATTTAGCTAAAATACAATTTATTCCTGCTTTCAATTCACAATTATTACAATATTTAGAATGATAGGTACATTTTTCACTCTTGCATTGTGCACTGTTTTGAAATTAATGAAGTGTTTTACATCAAGGCACCAGACAGCCACAGTTGTACGTACAGTATCAGACGTACAGTATCAGACTTTTTGTTTGACACACTTTACTGCAGAGACAGGCCAGAAGTGCAGTGGAGTCACAGGCCAAGACAAAGAAAAAATCCATTCTCATCCCTCTTAGCAAAAAATATCTTCTCAGTTACCTTTCCATGATTACAATAACACCACTGCTAGTTATTTCACAGTTTTTAAACACAGACTAACAATGAATACTGACAACGTTCTGTTGGTAGTCTGAAAGCAAGAGATCAGTCAGTGCTTGTGAAGAATATATGCTCTCATTGTCACATGCTCTCAAGTGTTTGTAGGCAGATGATGATGCAGTTTGTTCGCTCAAAAGAGGCACTTTGTCCTAGAGAGCCAAAGAGAGGAGACACAACATTAAAAAACAACTTTGTTTTGTGAGTCACAGAAAATTTGGAAAGTGGGCTTTTTTTAGTGGGGCATTTGGCTTTATTTCATAAAGATGACAGCAAAAAGAAATATGGGTAGAAAGACATGGGGATTACAAAGTGGCTCACAAGCAACACTTCTAAACAGTCAGTAATGCTAACTTTTTGTCATTGTAGGCATTTGGTCAGTGTGTAATACACAGTATGAAAGTAACTAATGAACGTCCATACTTAACAAAACATTACCTAATTGATCCTCATTGTATCTAATTTCAGGAAACTTCAAACATAGGTGGTACTAAAATAACCCCATAAACAACAGGAATTCCACAATTACTTTTATATATATAGAATGGAACACCTTATAAAAATCGGTAAATTTGAAACGTAACAACATTTGGACAATATATGGTGCTTTAATTGATACTCCGTTAATTTACAGTTCACGTGGTACTGACAACCCATCCATTTCCACATTTGGCTATATTTTTGCTCTTTTGGAACTCCAAATATTTCAAATACTGCAAATGCATTTTCTGTTTGAAAGAATTTAAGCAAGAAGCCTTTCTACTGTGATCCTCAGCTTGGTTTTAATGGTTTCAACACAATGGTTTTGTTGGAATGGAGTGCTGACATACCTTGTGCCTGTTCTTGTGCTCACACAGGGCCGCGCCGCTTCCGTCTGCCAAACGCCTGGGCACCCACGTTGGTGGGAACAAAGTTGCTGTGTCCCAGTCCTCCTGACCGACTCAGGAAGTCAGCCAAGCGATGGGTCACACAGGTGGCTGTGTTGCATGCCCGCTTTTGTGCTGTTGCATTACTTGTAAGAATAGAAAAGTTAGTAAAGACAGTTCATCATGATACTCAAGATCAGATTAGACTACATGACAAACTTTGAAGTATATATTTCTGGTATCATCAACAACACATTAAGCACAATGGAAATATGCAGAGGGAAATATTCCAATAGTTAGTTAGTCCAATAGTTGAGTGTATATTGTAAACAGTCATGCTTACCATTTTCTCCTTTCCTTTTTTTTTATTTAATAGGTAATGTATGTTTTCAATCTTCAATGAATTCAAAATAGCTTCCATGTAAAAGATGAATTTATTATAGGGGAAAGATAATTAACATGAAGAGAAAAATTATTTTACATTAGAAAGGTTTTTAGATGTTATTATATTTTATTGTATTGTAGAAAACTGCAAGTAACGCAATTTTGTTCCAAATGTTCAGGTCTCTGTCAGAATCTAATGTCTACCAGTGGAAAATTAAAGCAACAATGTAGACAACTGGGATCCACATGCATCAAGTCTCGTGAATGGATAGAGCTGGATGAACATACAAAGGTTAACTCAGACAGACAGGAGAATAGATGGGCTAAAAACGGAGTTTCTAATCGTATGAGTTGCCGTAGTTTTCATATTGCTCAGATAGACTTCGCTTCTTGCCAGGCGTCCCTGCTCCCACGTCGGTGCGGGGATAGGTTTGTAGTTTGTGAATGTCCTGGGAGAGTTTGCCCAGCACACAAGTGCTTAAGCCAGTGCAGCGCTTAGACATAGGTCTATCCAAGCTGTTAGAGACAGAGACAAACATGCAGAAACAGGCTTACAGTAACCGTGGCATGCAGATGAATGTTAATAATTACATGCATGATGTTTTTCTATAATGTCATGCATTTACAGAAAAAGAGGTGTAACATAAATTAACATTTCAAATGCATGCTGACAGATTCAACAGGCATATGAAAAAATATCTCATTAACCAAAATATTGTAGGCGAGTTGTCATGCTATTGTTCAGTTTCACTTTCTGTGCATCTATCATGCATGTTCTCAAATTTTCTTTAATCATGCTCTCTTCAGTTTCCTGACCAATGACACTCTTGCAGGCACATGTTTACTGTAACACCGAATTAATGGATGAATGAATGAAAAACTGCAGTCCATGCATTAAAGGATTATGACAGAGAGTAAGTAAATTTACATGAATGTCACTATATACCTTGATAATTAGTAAACAAAGTTGGAGCTGTTGGGCTTATAAACAAAATTTTGTTATATTGTGCTTAACTGATGGTAGTTTAGATAGATAGATACCACACCCTACGCAGTACTTAAACTTTTAAATTATCAATATTAGGGTTAACTACAACTCAAAGAATATCAAAAGCCATACCTGTTTCCATCAGATTTTTGGTGGTCTTGCTCATCTGAAGTTATCTGCATGAAGTCTTTGATAGCCCTGAGTAAACTTTGCGCATCATCATTCGATAGTGTGACTCCATCTGACAGGGACTCCTTACTAGTGAAAATACACATTCGGTTAGATTGATCTCTCTGGTCCTACCTCAACATTGGTTTTAAAACTGTGTAACTGATCTGATGTAATTGGTCCTTTTAAAAGCTAATAGGAAGTGAAATTACATATTTACATCTATGAGGAGACCGTGTTACAACTGGTGGGACAATCAAATATATTTTATTAGTTATGGTAAACAAGGAAATGTCAGACACAATCCTCCAAGGTAAAAAAAATGTCATACTTGAATAATAAAGAATAATGCCACAGCTCTTACCTGGATGGAGCTGCCTGTGAGACGTACATCTGGCAAATGATCAACGCATAGGCAAGAAGGAAAGTCCAGAGTTTCAGCATTATCATTGCCTGTAAAAAAAAAAAAAAAAAAAAAACAAAAAAAACCATGTACAATACCAAACAAGGTAATACAAATTATTACAAAGAGGAAATTTTATATCCATTTTGTGCAACCTGTGTACACAACTTTTTATGCCAGTAAAATGTTTTTTTGTATACATTCTCTGTCTACTATGTACTGCATGCATTAACAGCTATATGAATCCTCCCGCTCTGTTTCTCTCTCACGTTCCCTCGCTGTTAAAACCTCTGAACTTGCAGATAGATGACTTATTGGTGATATACTGACACTGGCAGCTTTGCCAGCAACCATCAGCAGTTCGGTCCATTAGCTGCAACCTAGAGAGTATAACTTCACCAGAGCTGCATCTCCCCTCTGTCAGCAATCAGTATCAGCCAGTATATTGGCTATCCAGTCTACTCAGTCCTCACCTTCTCCAAAAAACACATCATCACATCTGATATTTAACCATGACAGCATAATTGCACCATCAATTAAAAAGCAGTCTATACTCACCGTTAAGATAATAGATCTTCTGGTAATGAAGAATTCAATGATAGACTCACTTGTGAATCTGCTGAACACTCCCCACAGTACAGGGTTTTATATATGTTTCCCATGGGTATCTGTATTAACTGAGGGAGCACGTGATCATAGTCTATTGGCCAGTCAAATGTTTTACCTCAAACTGCTAGCCAATCAGAAGCCCTGTCACTTACTGCAAGCCAATAAAAGAGTTTGTATACAAATTAAATGAATGCACGCTCATACACATATTTAATTCACAATATGACGTTCTTTAAGTCATTCTTTAAGCAGGGTAAATGGGACTTTAAAACAATATAATGATCTTGAGAAAAAACACGGTATGGCATGTGAACCCACTTACTGTAAATCCCTTTACAGGGTGGATGACTATAATGGGCAGATAACTGAAACATAATTCATCAGCACTTCCTTTAATTAAAATATGTCAATATAATTTTTAATGTGGTGCCATTCTTTAAGTGGTTAAGATGAACATCGCTAGGGCCAGTGAGAGATATGACTTCGAAAGATGTGCATACTTTTAGTCACATGTAGCGTGGACAAAAAATTGTCCATTTTCAAAGACAGTGAATGTTCACAAGTGAGTCATATTTCATCAGGATACATTTTACTAGTTAGCGTTATGCGTTATGACACCCATGTGATTTTGAAGCCACTAACAAAGTTGCCCCAAAAAGCCTTCGTTGCACTCACACACTCATGATGCAAGATGGAAAGCGGAACAGGGCCAAATGCCAAATGCAGACCATTTAGTTCTCGATGAAAAAAAACTTTACAGAAAGTTACTAAATGACACAAATCTACAGTCATCTAAATCCGTATTTGAATACACAATACTCTGACAAAATATGTTCACACATTATGTTCATCAATATGCCATCTAACAGCCAAAGAATTTACGGGTCCAGCTGTACCCTGCTGCTCTCTCACATGTTTCAATATAATATTGCCCCATTAGACACCACTGAAGAATTTCAAAGTGTGTCAGTAAATATCAAAGTAACGCTTCCGTCTCAGACTTGTCATCAGATCAATACATATTTGAACCTTGGTGGCAATTTTTAAAGCATAGAGTGCAAAGTTTTGTACGGTTGGATAAAATATTGCCTTTCTTATATGCGAATAGCACCACAGTGAGCTCCTCCTGTGGATAGCCTAAACTAAAACTTCCCACAGAATTCAGTTGCGTCCATCCAGTTTCTCCGAGCTAATTTCTGGGCTCTTGGTCTCTGGCCATCTTCTAATTCCCCTTACATAACAATAATGAGGTATCGTAAAGCATCCTGCCTCCAAGTTGTTTTTTGTGTCACATGGAAACTCATTAGTGTGGATGAGCCCTTTAGAGCAGTTGAGCAAACCAGAGACACTAAATAAGTCTCCAAAAGCTCCACATAATATCAGAAACTGCTCATGGAGGTCTAGAATAGAAAATCTTGTAATCTATGGTGATCTCATGTGATCTCAGTGTTAACAATCTTATTCAATCTCCAAAATTATTCTATAACCATCTCTCTAACACAGATGACTCCATGACAAGTGCCACATTTAACGCCCCACCACAGTCTGTGGAAAAGTAAGTACTCTCCACACTGTTTTGGACTCAAGCTGCTCCCAATCCTTGATTCACCGCACATCAGTTGATGCTGAGAAATTACACTCCAATGGGAAAAGTGTATTGTCAAGAATGCAATTAGCTCACACTGTTCACATTCCCTAATGTTAGGCATGAATTGGTCTGGAAAATTAATTACAACACAGGAGAGCATTCATGACAGAGAGGGCAGCATCACGCTCACTGCAGTGCTCGTCGGTGGCGGTCTCGGCTGAGTCAATGTGAATATGTCTTCACCCAAAGAGAAACAACCACTGTGTGCTAAAAAGCCCAAAGCAAATTTCCTTCAAAGCGCTCTCACATCAACACTTTGCATTCAAACAGGCAGAGTTGAAAATCAGCTGGAATGATCCAACAGTTCAGTGATATTAAAGTCAGCATGTGAGTAATGTGTAAATTTGAGCGTATAATGGATCAATGGTTATTTATTATTTGAAATGTACATTAGTCCTCTGCAAGGCATTTTCACCTGTTGAGCCTCCAGGTTTGTGTTGAATCTAAAAAGACCAGCTGAACAGGAATGAAGAGGTCTAAGCAAGCAGAGACATAACTGACAAGTTAATGAGGAACGTCCACATTGTGTTAAAAAAATACAGTACAGGGCAACGTTGAGAACAAAAGGCAATATAGTGCAACTGTGTGGAAAACCTCTAATGGAGGTGAAGTACTTGAAATCAGTTTACAGATTGGTTTGTGCACCTTCAGAAAGAACATAAAATTACCATCGCGGCTCATGGAATTATAAACACGAAGTGAAGTAGCCATTAGTAAAAGGACTTACACCTGCTGCTAAAAGGCTAACCAAACCTAACATAACATTTAAACACCTGGCGAGTAGTTACAGAGGGATTACAAGACCTCTTGATGTCCCTGCCGCTGTCATTATGTTGTTAGGGCAAAGAGATTCTGGACAGCATTAGTATTACAAGGGAAGGTCGGTAATTAGATTTTCCCCATGCACTTGATAATTCCAGTCATCCGGATGGTAAATAATTTACAGTGGTCAAGGGATCCACCCAATCGAACATGCCACGCATGTCCCACAGTGTAGCAGAACAGGAAGAACACTCTTCAAATGGCCTCATAATGTAAAGACTGATGCTATTCTACCACACATGCGGTAACTGCATTACATCCCATACATTGGTCAGGACAGGAATAAAATTATCCCCAGGATGGGGATGACAACATACTGTATGACAGTATAAATTTGTCCATACCATTTAAACGGTGGTATCCCTTTAATATTGTTGGTAGTATTAAGCCAATATGGACAATGTTGCAAAAAATAAAAAATATATATTTTAAATGATTATTGTGACGACCCTGTGGTTGTCTGTTGTGTTGTGCTGGTTTGGTGTTTGTGTGTTCCAGGCTATCTATAGGCAGAGCCAAGGCCAGGGTCGTCAGGAGATGCGGCTCACCTGTTTCAGCCTGGCTTAGAAGTATTTAAGATAGCTGCCAACTCTGCCCAGGCTCTCTTTTGTTTCCCACCGCACCATGCACCAACACTGGGACACACCGGCCCTTCATTTTTGACTTAGCTTTTCCTTCTGCACTCATTACATTTTACACTCACCCATACACTCACAACACTCATGACTGATTTTCACGTTTGCCTTGAAGTTTATGTTTAGCTGATACAATTAAACCATTAAGCTTATGTTTGCATGAGCTTCCTCTATTTTTTTACAAGCAAGAGCCAACTTGTAACATTATTTATAGGATTTTTGCATCAATGTGATGAAATATATATATATATATATATATATATATATATATATATATATATATATATATATATATATATCCTGACTTTTAGTCCCTGGTATGGGCTCCAAAACTCAAGAGGTCACGGTGGCCTCAGGCTAAGCAAGGTAGTCCAGTTGTCCCTCTCCCCAGCAATGTTTTCCAGTTCTTCCTGGGGGACCCCGAAGCGTTCCCAAACCAGATGAGATATATCATTTCCCGGGGGTCTCCCACCAGGTGGACATGCCAGAAAAACCTCCAATGGAAGGTGACCAGAAGGCATCCTGATGCCCTGAACCACCTCAACTGGCCCCTTTTAACGTGAAGGAGCAGCATCTCTACTCCATGACGACATTATCAGAGTTTTTATTTTAATTTGGAAAGCTCCCTCCGGAACCACAGAGGACATTTTACAAGTGTCCCTTTAATATACAATTAGGCATATAGGCTATCAGTCCATATTACCTACTAGAGAACACACTAAAATAACTCACTCCAAAAACATGGATTATTTGACAAGGGGGGGTGGGGGGTGGGGGGGAATTCCTGATTAGATACAATGATGGGGTCTATAAGTAAAAATGGACTCCAGACCTAACCTGATAATATTTATGTTCTCCAGTAAAAAACTACTGTCATTATAATGCTGTTTTTAATTAATGACATTTCTGATAATTTTTTCCTTCAAGATTCAACGTTTATTGCCTTGTCACTCCTCATGTTACACCTGTATATCCTTGACAGCACTCTCTGTTGATTACCAGATTAAATGTTTACACATTTTTCAACCCTTCTTTTAACTTGCCTAGTAATTAGCAGTCGGTCAACTCTTTTTGAAATAACTCTGGTTCTGTTCCAAGCTGTTACGAAAATATGGTCCATGTTAACCACCTGGACACACGTGTCGCTGGTGTTTTGATGAACTCAAACATTAACAAGATAATGCAACAGAAAGAAGAACACATTTATTTGATTACATTTGACAGATGTCTTGAATGCTTCCAGCATAGCGTTTTAGTCTGGGGAGCTGGCAGGAAGCAATTTGCAAGAATGTCCTCATTAGGTAGCCCTAACCAATCTGAATGATTGGGAGAGGTCTGTAGAGGCCATTTGAGGCATCTAAGAAAAAGTTTACCAGCTGCCTGAATAGTAAGGAACGGCTGGATAAACAACTTCATGTTTAATGTGGAGCCAGTCATGATGAACTGATCACACAGCACGGTGGAGAGCATTGCTTTACAAAAGTACAAATTGTTTATAGTATAAAACTCCATTAATGAGATGATAATATTTACCTGGGTTAGTCTCTGCAAGCTCTATCCATTCTCCACTTCCATCTACAGACCATAGGAAAACTGTGTAGGCAATAAATAAATGAATGAATAAATCATTGTATAATGCTAATTGTCTATGACTAAAAGGAAATATTTAAAGAATTTGGCAAATATTTTCTCTACAAAACAAATAAAACTTGGTCAACATTGATATCCATTTTTAGATCATCCATGCACTTTCGTGCGCTGACTAGACAAGTTCAGGTTTTTGGCCAACAAGCTTGAAAAATCTCACACAACCATGCAGGTTTGGAATGTGGTGCCTTCCTTAACCTTTAACTTTTAAATGTTGCATGACCTAACCTTTAACATGTTGAGGTGAAGGAACCTGCAACGGTTTACTGGGGCAAAGTTTATTTGCTTTAAAACAAAGCAGGGTAACTCT